CCACATCTCGGGGACGCTCCCGGTACCGGTCCCCCGGCCTTTCTGGGGAGCCTCCACAGCTTCCCAGGAGGGCCCAAGACGCCTCCCAGAAGCCCACAGAATTCGAAAGAATGGTCCAAGACGCTCCCGAGCAGCCCAAGTCAGCCTTCCGACGGCTCTCGAGGCTCCCAGGTGGTCCAAGAGACCTCAAGAGAGGTCTGATAGGTGTCACGGGACGGCCGAAGAGGCCAAAGTCGTAGATGTTCAATCCGGCCGCTCCCGCCCGGCGGGTTGGGCCGTGCGAGACCTCTCTGACACAGTGTCTGGCACAGTCTTTGGCCCCCTTCTCCAGTGCCTGGTCAAAAACCTCCTGAAAGTCTCTCCGAGGGGGCCCCACTCTGCCGCCGGCCCCACTCTGCCGCCGGCCCCCTTCAAGGTCTCAAACGGCCCAAGGGCGCCCCAAGCCGGTCCAAGAGAGTCCCGAGCAGTCCAAGAGAGCCTCCAGACGGTTCCAGATCGCTCCAAGACGCCTAAGATGGCCTCCAGACGGCCCAAGACGCCTCCAAGACGGCCCAAGAGGGCTCCAAGAGCACCCCCAAGACAGCCCCGAGAAGCAAAAATCATTGATTTTTCAATGGTTTTTGAAGGATTTTCACGTTCACGCCATTTCGGCTTACCCACGCTCCACGACGGCCCAAGAGGCCCCCAAGATCGCCCCAGGACGGCCCAACAGGCCCCCAAGACGGCCCCAAGACGGCCCAAGAGGGCCCCAAGACCGCCCAAGAGGCCCCCGGGACGGCCCAAGAGGGGCCCCAGGATGGCCCCAAGAGGAGGCCCAGAAGGGGTACCCGAATGAACATGTCGAGCTTTCGGCTCAAGAGGCCCCCAGGAGGCCCTAAGAGGCCCTCTGGAGGCCCCCAACAAACCCCAAGAGAGCCCCAAGAGGCCCCAAGAGGGCCCCAAGAGGTCTCCAAGAAACCCCTGGGACGCCCCCAAGAGGCCCCTAAACTGCCCCGCAGAAGCCTCCGAGAGCCCTCTCGAGAGACCCCAGGAAGCGTCCATGAGGACTCCGTCCGACCCAAAACCCAAGCACGGTGGCGGGATGGGGCGACGGCTATTTGATAGTTGGCATACGCGCCACGTCACGACTTTCGATGCTGCGCACCTCTTCGAAAAACTCCCAGGGAGCGGCCGGTGATGCGCCGCCAGCGTCCTCGATTCTGTTTTTCCATGTTTTTGGCTTCTCGCGTTTTCGAGCTTCCAACGGTCCAAGAGCGCCGAAGAGGCTCCCAAGACCGCCCCAAGACCACCCAAGAGACCCTCAGGACGGCCCCAAGACGGACCAAGAAGGCTGCAAGATTGCCGAAGAGGCGCCCAGAACAGCCCCATATCACCCCAGAACAGGCCCAAGATGGGCCCAAGAGCGGGAGCAGGATGCTTCCAGAGACCTCCGAGAGGCCTCTGGGACCCCCCAGAGGCCCACAACACACCCCCGATCCCTGAGAGGCCCCAAAGAGACCCCGACGAGGCTCCAAGAGCAGCCCAAGAGAGCTGCGAGAGCCGTCCCGAGAGAGCCCAAAGAGGGTAAATCGTTGATCTCCCATGGTTTTTCTAATGTTTTGCGCCTTCTCACGTTTTCCCGCTTCCAACCCTCGAAGATAGAGGATTTTGGAGAAAAAAAGAGAGAGGGAATTCCAATCATTTGTTTCATCAAAGTGGGACTGCTACTCGAGGGTCCCACACATCCCCTGACATCTGGCCGGTACCGCGCCTCCCGGCTTCTTAGCGGTTTCGCGGAGTCTCCGAAGGCCCCAAGGAATCCGGGAATTTTGGATTTGGGTTAGATGGTCATCCATTCAGGATTCAGGACAGAAATTCATGCGCGAACCAAGCATGTCCATCTCTCGTTCAAGTGCCGTGTGGGATAAGTAATGCCGGGGTATTTAATTGCATTGCGCTGCAGCCCAGGGTATCAGCGCCTTTCAGGCAGCAGTATCCAGCGAGCTGCAGCCCAAGGTAGCAGCTCACGTACAGCGCTGGCCGCTGCATCCCAGGCACTTTCTACTCAGAGCAAGCGACGCCCGCTGGCCGCCAAGATGGCCCCTTAGGGGTCCAAGATGCTCCAAGATGTTTCAAGGCGGCTCCCAGGGGCCACAAGATGCCCCAGTGGAACTGCGAAAGGCCCTCCCAAATGACCCCAGAGAGCCACAAACGCAAAAGCCATTGAGGTTTCTTCATGTTCAGTACATCTCACGCTCGTCTCCTTCGGATGGTTTCGGGAGAGCTTCTCGAAGAAGAGCCCAAGAGGGGCCCAAGCGGGCCCCAAGGCCTTCAAGGCAGCCCAAACAGGAAGATCCACTAGAGACCCGTACATTTCAAGCCAACCCATTTCATATTGAATATCTTCCCACGCCGGCCCTGAATAGCTCGAAGCCCCCGCATATTCCCAAGCAAGAGGAGGCCGTCGATAAGAACGAGAAACGAAAAGCGAGGACAACCGAGAGTCTGGAGGGTTAACGAGGAAGGACGTATAAGGAATATCGGAGGACGAGGTAAGGCAAGGTATGGAATGAGCCTGTCCGAAAAGCACGCGCAGCTAACAACGCCATGGCATGCGCTAGAACCCAAGCGCCCGCGAAACGCGCGCGCGGTTCACATAAGTACCGCCCCCCCCCGGCCCTGGGTCCCACACCTCCCCGCCACATCTCGGGGACGCTCCTGGTACGAGGGGAGCGAGAGGACGAGGGACAGCAGCAGAAAAAGAGGGAGGAGGAGGAGGAGGAGGAGGAGGAGGAGGAGGAGGAGGGGGAGGAGGGGGAGGAGGGGGAGGAGGAGGAGGAGGAGGAGGAGGAGGAGGAGGAGGAGGAGGGGGAGGAGGAGGAGCAGGGGGAGGAGGAGGAGGAGGAGAAGCAGTGAAGCCAGCCAGGTCGAACGAGTCAGCGGGCCTTCCATCCCACAGCATAAGAATAGATGCAAGGGCTCCCTCGAGGGCGCGAAGTTATTCGCGCTTCGCGCTTCGCGGTCCTCGTTCCTTCTCCCCCTCCTCCTCGTCCTCCTTTTCTCCCTTTGGGGGGGCGGCGCGAGGGCGCGAAGTTATTCGCGCTTCGCGCTTCGCGGAGCGCGAAGCGCGAAGTTGGGAGCCCTAGGCAAACGGAAGGTGATCTCGCGCGCTCCCGCTTCCGACGACTTGGCGGGGGAAGAGCACGAACCGCGCTCGGGCGCGAGCGGAGCTTCCGCGAGCCTGTGCGCGGCGCTGCGACGAGAGCATAATGCAGCCTCCTCTCGCGCGGCCAAGCGTCCGATCGAGCGCGGCCGCGCCGCCGCTTCCCCGCGCGAGACGGCGAGCGCGAAAGGCGCGCGGCGGAGCGGGGGCGCCATGTCCAGGCGACACCTGCGCATGGCCTTTTCGGGCTATAGGGCGAAGTTCCGCCCTCGCGCGCGCGGCGCGGCCCCCGGCAGCCTGGCGCGAGTGGGGAGCATCGGGGGCGGCCCATCCCTCTCTCCCGCCCCCCAGGCTGGCCGCCGACATATCTCAGGAGAGAAAAAAACACACAGACACAATTAATCGTCAATCCCCCAGAACATATGGGAGAATGTGGGAAGTGGGGGGGAAGACAAAGATCCAGAAAATATGGGAAAATATAATGGGGAATAGTTTTATTTGTGTGTATTTATTTGTGTGTGTCCTGGGGCCCCTTCAGTATCCACCACCGCCTGGGGCCCCAGGGCGGTGGCTCTCCCGCCGATGGCTGTGGTAAGACTCCCCGCCCTGCGCCGGCGCACCGCCGGCCTGCCACGGCACGCATGATGCCGCATACCACGGGGGCTCGCGGCCCAGCTCAGTCCCGTCCCGCCCTGCGGTGCCACGCCAGGAGGTACAGTCGGTGCCCTGAAGAAGGAACCCTTTTGGTTGGGGAGGGGCTTCGCGTTCCTGAAGTGTTTCACAGCTTGCCTCAGGTTTTCCTGATGTTTTCGATCGGAAATCGAAGTTTAACTTATGGAAAAAGGGGCCTCGTTCCTTATTTAGGGTTCCTTAGGTCAACGCCCCGACTGTATCGTGGGCGCAAGCCCTCGCCGGCTGGGCCCCTGGCTCGCGCCCCGGGATCCAGACCGCGAGGGCGCGGGTGCGAACAGGTTCGCCGCTCGTGGAGGATATGATTCGGGTAGGTAGGGTTCGTAGGAGGAGGAGGAGGATGAGAAGGAGGAGAAGGAGAGAAGTAGAAACAAGGAGGAGGAGGAGGAGGAGGAGGACCAGGAGGAGGAGGAGGAGGATGAGGAGGAGGAGGAGAGAGGATTGAAGAGTAACGGTGGTGCCCTGCAAGGTAGTCTGAAGCTGGGCATGTCCCTCTACGGGAGGAAGATTTGACAACTGCCAGGAAGTAGTCAGGGGACGATTTGTTGATTCTATTTGAGTTAATTCCTGGCGTTTCTCTAAATCTGCCTGCAGGAGGACATGCCCAGCCTAAAGGCAGTCCTGCCTATGTGCGCTCGGGTGCTATAGTAGATGGCTGGCCGGAAGTAGGGGCCCTGCTGGGTGGTCTGAATTGTTCGGAGGTTCGCAAGTTCGGAGGTACGTCCCGTAACATACAGTGGAGACCCAATAGATGGGTCTGTTCACTGCTGACGCTGGAGGAGCCATGATTGCGGGCCAGTATCCATTTCCATTGCGTCTTGGAGTTTCGGGCTCCCTTCCTCTGATACCATGGTCAATGTGGATCTGGATGCAACAATTTCGCCCCTACAGGTCAGATGCCTGTCCATATTCACTGCGCCGCGGTCTGTTGGCGCCCCTTCCCAGAAAGTCCAAGACGCAGGGGATATGGTACAAATCGTGCCCGCAAACATCTTCGTGAAAAAGATGAGACGTGTGCTCTAAGAGGATGGTAGTCCACCCCTGGGTGTCTGGTTGAAAGCCGCTTCAGCACAGGAGAGGAGCGGGAAGGAAGTCAAAGTGGGCGGGAGACAGCTACGCGTCTCACACGCCTCGCATCCCCTCGCAGGCGCGGGGGGTCGGCGGATAGGGGATAACTCGGAGGCCTCGACCTTCCCATACATCGAATGCACCGATGGCGACAACCAGCTCGAGCACGAGGCTCCTCCACGCCTACTTTTACCCAGGCTGCTGCTGCTGCTGCTGCTGCTGCTGCTGCTGCTGCTTCTCCCACTCTTCCCCGCTCCTCCCCTCCCCCACCTCGTTCTCCTCCTCTACCTCCTCCCCAGATTATTTCTCTTCTTCCTGTTCCAACTACTTCCCCCCCTCATCCTCCCTCGTCAACTCGTTTTCGTCCCTCTGCTCATGGAGGGCAGTTGGATGATGAGGCATGCCATGATAGTGCGGATGATGTCTGGTTCTCCAGCCGTGGCGAGCGATTCCTTGCTTCGGAGTGAGTTCGCATCTTCGGCGCATTCCTTTTTTTCTGCGTACGCAGATTCATATGGGCCTTACGAGCGTGCGCTTGCATGCCTGGGCGTCTCTGATTGCTTGGGCGTATGTTGGCGCACGTGCGCTTGTGCAGGGGCAGCTGCATGTGCTTGAGTGTGTGTGTGCGTTTGGAGTTCTGGTGATTGAGGTCACGTGCCGCAGTTGTGCTTCATCAGTTCGCTTCTAAAGTGTCACAGTCTGAAAGGATGGGCTGAAGTATGCAGCACAGCGGCCTATGGTTGATGATGTATGCGCGCTGCAGTGAATACACACTCGTGCACCTATACTCGGTATACTTCCTAGTGTATGTCCGCTTGCGTGCGCTTCCTTCAATCTGTTGTCGCCGCTATTGAATGCGTGAACCTGTTTACATAAACAACTGTCCCCGTACACGTTGCCGACCACGTGAAGACCATGTGGCACTCTTCAGCTGCCGTTGCCCACTGTCAAGTGTTCGATCGTGGCACGTCTGTGCCTACAAGAGCAGCGTTACGTGACGGGCCCCAGGAGTTTCTAGTGTGTTCTTAGCACACCTCCTGGCATTGCTGGGGTCGAGGCCCAGCACGCCACGTCGGGCTATGACGCTGTGTATAATTTCGTGTTGTTTGCCCGTCGTCTTTTGGTCGAGGCGACGACCTCCCGAGTGTCCGAAGACCAGCTCCTGTATCTGACCAGCAGAGGGCTAGCCCCCGAGGCAGCTTCCCTCTCTTCTCAGCAGCGCCCGTCTACATTGCGCACTGCATGCGCTGGGACGGGGTTCAGGAGGAGCTGTGAGGGACGGGAGATGAAATCATGTGGGTGATCATGATTGGTGGACAGGTGTGTCTTCCTCCTTATCCTCCTTTCGTGATGCCGCCTTCCTCTCCTCCTCACTCTTTCTCGACCACATCTCCACCACATCGTCGTTCTCCCCTCCCTCCTGCTGCCAAGGAGGTGGAGGAGGAGGAGGAGGTCTGCTAGATGGGTCTGGATCAAGCACTGTACCATACAGCGATGATTCACTTCCTTGTGCGGGGATGGTGAGGAGGAATGGACGAGGTTCTGTCGATGATGCGGCCGAGGACGAGGATAAGGAGGAGGATGTAGGAAAGAACGCCGGACGGCGGACGCTGGCGTCCGAGACGGGCCTTCGAAGTGTAGTCAACCCGCATAGTCAGGATGAGCGACTTCCCAAGGGTACCATGGCATCCCTGCCTTTTGGTAATCTTCGGCCCATCCTCGACCACTTTCGATGGCCAGCCCCGCTCGAGGAGCCTCGGCATGGGCGCCCAAGGCCCTTGCATCCTCACCGCGCATCCTCACTGCACCGTTTGACTGCATCCAGGGCGGCCATGCGGGGTTCCGTGTCCAGCTGGGGATGAGGGTGGGGACCTCTATTCGCTTCTCGGTGTCCCAGCTTAGCTCTATCGCTGGTGCAGCCATTCCGCCTCGCCGCCGACGAAAAAGAGTGGGGACCTGTCCGGGGGCCAGGGGTGGGGGATGGGCGGGTGGTGGGGGCTGACGAATGTGCGCGGACCTCCCCCTCCAGGTGGCTCCTGGACCCCCATGGAGGGGGGACCCTCGGAGCGTAGCGTGGCAATTTTCCTCACTGCGGGCGCTGCCGCCCGGCCTCGGGCGCCCAGGGACCCTCACGGATCGACAGGGCTCGAACCATGCCGCAGAGAGACGTTTCTTTGTCTGTTCCTTTCCACTCCCGCAGCGCCGGAGCTCTCCAGGGAGGGGGGCCGTGCAGGCGCGCCGCGCGAATGCTCACCCCCTGCAGGCGGGGGCGGAGGCTGCCCCAGGCCCCCGGTGCCCCCCCCCGCTGCGCTCTCGTCGGGGCTCAGGAGACGGGGGTCCATGCAAACGGGGGTCAGTCACGCCCCGTGGTAGATGGGTGCCTCACCAATAATCGCACTGGCCCCCCCTCTTGAGCCTCATCGCACTGCCTCTCTTTGGAGAGGCCCCCTTACCAACTGACAGGAAACCTAAAGAACTCAGCGTGAACTGGGGTTAAAACAAACAATGCAAACGGGGGTCAGTCAGAGCGCCGGATCTTGCAGGCTCCTGCAGGGCCAGTGGCACCGACCAGGGCTTGGGTGCAGGATCCTGCAGGAGCTTGCCTGCAGGCCTGACTGACCCGGGTCTGCATTGGCCCGGGTCAGTAGATCCCCGACGTCGCTTCTTCCCCCTGCCGCCTCATCCCTCCTCCTCACCTATCCTCATCCTCATCTTGCTCCTCCACAACCATTCTCCTGCCTCCTGCCCCTCTGCCACCTCCCCTTCCTCCTCTGCTCCCCGCTCCGTCTCCTCATCCTTCGAGTTGGGGATCGATTACATGGTTGATTCACAACGAAATTGATAGACTCGTCGGGACAGGCGTACAATCTTGGTAGATCTACGAACATTATACGCATATCTCCTGGATGCGACGAACAATTCAATGTGTGATAAATCACTTATGTAGGCGATCGCCTGCTCGAATCCTCGTCCTACTCCCCGCTTGCTCTGTCTTGCAACCTGAGGGGAGGGGAATCGCTGTGTGTGATGGTATGTTGGGGAGATCTGCACAGGAGGGTGAACGAAAAACACGAGGTGGAGCAGGAGCAGCAAGGAGGAGGATGAGCAGGACGATGGGGAGGTTGAGGAGCGCGGGGAGCAGACGGCGCAAGAACCGAGACACGAGAGCAGGGAGCCACCTGCTGCGCAAGCTTGTCTAGACCGCTGTCCCCAGGAAGCCGTCTCGCTTGTTATCAACGGCTTCTGCCAGGCCGGGCGGGGAGCCATTCTGACCGGATCGTGCTCCACTCCTGCTGCTCTTGTCGTCGGCGAGCGAGGGGGGGGAAATGAGAAGGTCTTCCAAGAGGGCCGCGGGACTCCTCCGAAGCGCTCGCGCCTTTGAGAAGCTGTCCGACTCCTCGAGGAAGGAATAGAGAAACTCTCAGAAAGCCGGGGGGGACTTCCGAGCCTTCCGACAAGGCCTCCTCCCGGCGTCGCCCCAGCATGCTAACACCGTTTTGTGCATCGACCCCCCTTGGGGCGACCCGCGCGCCGAGAAATCGTGTAGTATACGCGTCGTGGCGGGCGTGTTTTGGTCACACCGCTCGGGAAACGACCTACTACAAGGTGGGTGTACTGTATGTTCGGGCCGGACGCGCGCCTCCAACGAGAACACACGGTGCCAGTATGTCTCTGTGCGTCCCATCCTCCTTCTCACGTCTCCCCTTCGCTCGCCGCTGCTCTTGGTTCTCTCCTTCGCCATCCGCCCGCCCGCTGCTGCCACTTCCTGGTCCTGCTCTTCAGGCTGTTTCTCCTCGCCCATGGTCCTCTTCCTCCTCCTCCTCCTCCTCCTCCTCCTCCTACTCTGTCCTCCTCCTTCTCTTCCTCATCCTCCCCTCCTCCTCTTCCTCCTCCTCCTCCTCCTCCTCCTCCACCATCTCCTCATCCTCCTCCTCCTCGTCATCTATCTTCATCTGTCCTCCTCCTCCTCCTCCTCCTCCTCCTCCTCATCTGTCCTCATCTGTTCTCTGTCCTCCTCCTCATCCTCCTCCTCCTCTCCTCATCCTCCTTCCCCTCCTCCTCCTCCCCCTCCTCATCTCCTCCTCCTCCTCCTCCTCCTCCTCCTCCTCCTCCTCCTCTCTCCTCCTCTGCATGACCCGTTGTCTCCACCGCCTCCTTGAGCCCCTGCCTTCCCCCTCCTCTCCCTGCTGATGACTCGGCATCGCTCGGGCGTGTGCGTCTCTTCCGCGGCGTGGGCCATCGAGGAGCATCCTGGACCATCTTGCGAAACATACACGCGCGACATCGAAACGAGCACGGGGAATGGACGTCCGAGCGCTGGCGAGTCATCTTCTTGCCGGCCTGCTTCTGGCCTCTCCTCCTCCTTTGTTGACCGATCATCCGCCGACGTGCTCTTCGGCAGGTGCCTGCTCTCGCGCTGCTCATTCGCCGCGGTCTCGCCTCGGTGTCTCGCAAGTTCTTTTTCAGTTTCCCCGCGGTCGCTGTCTCATTCGCACGAGCAGGTCACGCCTGGGTCAGTCTTTCGTTGCCAGTGGCCACGCCAATTTTGCATTGGACCCATCGGCTGACATACATTCGCTGTTTGCTGATCCTTCTTCTCTCCCCGCCCAATCGCCATTGCGCCCTCCGTCGTGCAACAATCAGTTGCTTGGATTTTTGTGTTTTTCTTCGGGCTCGCTGTTCGCTAATGTAGTAGTTTTGCGTGCTGTCGTTCTAGATGCTCCTGTCTTAATCTGAACTGTGTACCGCGTGGCTGCCTACGATCATGCGTCGAAGCTCGCTTCTTCCAGGCCGCTCCCACCTCCCGTGCTGCCGCTGTCTTGAAGTCTAGCTCTCCGACGCTTGTCCCACGAAGCAGTTGGGGCAGGACGTGTTTGACCAGCTGCCCATGGAGTTCGCGGCGGAATCCCAGAAGCTGTTATCGCTCAAGCTCGAGGGCACCGTCGGCTGAGTGCTCTGATTCCTTCTTCTCATTCGCCGAATTTTCACCCTCCGCATGCGTCAATGTGTCCAGCTTGCATGCGATGATACTGTAAATGTCGTTTGTCGCCTCGTTGCTGGGATGCGGTGCCGCCAAATGTCCATCACGCCACGCGTTCAACACGCCGTAGAGTCGAGCCTGGGAGGAGGAGAAGGAAGAGGAGGGGGAGGAGGAAAAGGAGGAGGAGAAGGAGGAGGGGGAGGAGAGAATGGATGAGGAACACGAGGTGTGAGCAGCGAGGCTATCGATTGAATAGGTTTGTGACGATCAGAAGAAGTTCGAGGAGGAGGAGGAGGAGGAGAAGGAGGAGGAGGAGGTGGAGGAGGAAGAGGAGGAGGAGGAGGAGAGGAGGAGGAGGAGGAGGAGGAGGAGGAGCAAGAGGGTTGAGGACGGGGTGGGGGTAGGTGGAAGAGGAAAACGCGTAATGGAAGAGGGGGACAGTTGCATGAGGAATAGGAAGGAAGTGGGGGGATGGGAGAGGCGTATTGAAGAGGGTAAGGGAGGAACGCGGGACATCTTAGCTGCAAGACCAGTTGCGAGGCGACGAGCGGCAACACCGAAGCAGAAGCGCCCAGAGAAGCCCGGGCTCGTTGCCGGGCGGAGACAGTTTTTTCAAGACCTCGTAAGTTTGAGCAGAGGTTGAGGATGGGGAGGAAACGAACGAGGGGGAATGAGGGAGAGGAGGAGGAGGAGGAGGAGGAGGAGGAGGAGGAGGAAGAGGCGGCGGAGGCGGAGGCGGAGGCGGAGGCGGAGGCGAGGCGGAGGCGGAGGAGGAGGAGGAGGAGGAGGAGCGGAGAGAGGAGGAGAGGAGGAGGAGGAGGAGGAGTAGAGGAGGCGTAGAGGAGAGTAGAGGAGGAAGTACAGGAGGAGTAGAGTAGGAGTAGAGGAGGAGTAGAGGAGGAGTAGAGGAGGAGTAGAGGAGGAGTAGAGGAGGAGTAGAGGAGGAGTAGAGGAGGAGTAGAGGAGAGGAGTAGAGGGGAGCGAGGCGGAGGCGGAGGCGGAGGCGGAGTAGAGGAGTAGAGGAGGAGTAGAGGAGGAGTAGGAGGAGGAGGAGGAGGAGGAGGAGGAGGAGGAGGAGGAGGAGGAGGAGGAGGAGGAGGAGGAGGATAGGGGAGGGGGAGGGGGGGGGAGGGGGAGGGGGAGCGGAGGCGGAGGGGGAGGGGAGGGGGAGGGGGAGGAGGAGGAGGAGGA